TCTGTTTTAAAATAAAACTGGTATATTTGAGTTTTTATATTTTGTGATCACCAAAACACGGCAAGGGCCGGTCAAAATATTTATTTCCCGGGCCGAAAAGTTGTCCCAGTCCGCCCCTGTTTGTACATATTATAAAAATAAATTATTTAAWGGCAGTAAATGTTATAAAAATTAATGTAGGAAACAAAGCGAATAAAGACCAAAGAAAAGATAAAAAATAAATATTTTTATTAGTAACATAATATAACTAGCTGGTGTGAATGAAGTAAAGATAGGAGATTAAAGGTGTAAATTGAGAATAGGGCCAACTCCATACATTAAGGCGAGGTAAAAGATATACATTAAACATCTATTAGCTATATTCTGTCCAGTGTTTGGAAATTAAGTGTTCAATTTTAGGTGAACAAGCCATAAACATATTCAATTATTATACCAATGCAAACAGCTTTTTATTTTTAATAATAATAATCTTTAGTAATATTTAATATTATCAATGATACCTAATAATATTAGATTATAATCTTATAGTATGACMACAGAATATATATTACCATAGAACAGTGATATGACATTACTAAAGTGATGGGTTAGCACGGAGTTAGAAGATAAGGTCTACAGACTACAATAATAATATTTGATATCTAGCCGTCTAGGAATTTTATGGCCACACTGAAAGTGTAKTTCACACGTTTTTTTTCAACAAAAATGAACACATTTATTTTAATGGACAATGAACGTGATGGACGATGATTATTGTATAATGAACGTGAATTTTAATGCATCCACATYGATTTTATCCAGAAAAAGAACACACCACGGCCCAATAAAAATTAATTTTTCTATGAATCTCTAACTGACACCCTACCATTGTAGAACCATATKGCAAGGTGTCAAGTAAGGATACATAAAGTCGGTGTGTTCTCTTACTGGACAGAGTAAAACAAAAAAGTTTAAAATATATAAGATTAATGCATACCATTAGATTTCCATCTTCATCCTTCAGTTCTTCTGTCCGTATGTCCATAATTATGGAATCAATAGTTTTTAATCTTAATTGAGAAGTAACAGAGTCCTTTCTAAGTCTTGCTGCTACAACACCAAGGTAGTCTAAGGAGGCTACTCTAAGAGACATATCTAGATTTTTGTTAACAAAATTGGCAACCAATAACCTCCCTAGTACACTAAGCATTAGTTCAGATGCCGGCCACTCTGGTTTATTCACAGTGGTCAATAAATCTTGAATGAAATTTTCAAATATTGGACGGTAATCGATTTCTTCATTTTTACTACTACATTTTGATAAAAATACATGCAAAAAACTTGATGCAGTTGAACGAGCAGTTTTGAATTTACTGACAATTAATGTATCAGGATCAAGCTAAAAAAAAAAATGAAAATTGCATAAACTTTACACTATATTTTAATTCAAGTAAGTTATAATCAAATATTTAAATATTTTACATTTGATTGTTTATCTGCTAAATTAGATGGAAGTACAACCATGCATTGAATTAATTGTAAGACAAGAGCTGATAACATTTGAATATACTCTTCAGAACTAATTCGAAATGATTTTAAGCTTCGCTTTGAACTTGGTAATCGTGCCATAGATGCAAGTATATCATCTAATAGTAATTTCCGGTGCTTGTCATATTTTGTAAATATCTATTCAAATAATATGAATTTTTAGTTAAAAATCTTAATTTAACTTGATATTTCTTTAAACTAATTTATTAATATGTAATTACTGTTGTAACAAGCTTTAGTGCAGAAAGTTGTAGTTCACTGATTTCTTCAACAAAAAAGGGTGAAACTGCCATTGATGAAGTATGAAGAACAGCTGTATCAGTTAGTGTTTGAATTTGTAAAAGCTCAGCTAAAAGTGAAACTACTTCTGCCAACTTGGTATATAGGGACAGAACATTTTTATCACGAACTTCTTTTGGATGAGCACGTTTTTTACGTGCACTTCCTGCATACGAATCATTACTCTTATGTATCCTACAACAACAAAATAAATTATTGTTCTATGAATCAAATTAAAAATAATAAGTTATGTGATATGTACCTGTAGACAGGATCAAACGCTGGGTAAATTGTATTATGTAGTTGATACTTTGTGAACATGACTACTCTATCAATAACATCTTCCATATAAACTTTTTTCTGCATTCTTGGTGAAGTTAACACATAGAGAGTAGTGAGGGATGCATCTACAGCTCGCATAACTCTTTCCATAGCTAACTCCATCCACAGTTTTCTTTCACATTCATCATCTTCCTGAAAATCCAACCAACAAATTATTATGTTAAACCAAAATAATAAAAAACACTAGTATTTTAACAGGTTATTGGCTTACTGGATCAGCTATTGGTGATACTTTTGCACCATCTCTAATATTTTTTTCAAGTATGCTTAGTAAGCGAATTATTTTGTTTGATGGAATTGATTCCATAGCGCCTAACGTTTTAAGTTTAGCAGATTCATTACATAATTCTTGTAGTACATATTTTGGTATTAAAGCTTCTGGCGGTATATCATTTTCTCCTATTAATTAAACAATAAATTTAAATTCTGAGCAACATTATTAATAAGAATAATTACCAAAATCTAGAATTGTATCAATTTCTTCTGTACTCTCAAATACTTTTTCTATGCATTTGTTGAATTTTTGATATGTATTAGTTTCCATAAGTTCTTCAACAGACAACTTTTCAACAACTGGTACAAATTTTCTTTCAACTTTTCTTAATTTAGGTTTTATAATACATTCATCTAAATTATTAAAAAAAAAAAAGAGTACACTTACTATTTTAAATATAATATGTAAATACATAAATATTTGATTAAAATACCACACAAATACTAAGTATAACTGTTTTAAGTCTTTATATATTAATAAATAACTTAAACTATAATTACTTTCGTCAAAACTATTATTTTTGTCATTGACTTCAGATTGTTGTGCCGCTCTTTTTCTTCTTTTAATTCTTTCAGTCAGTGATACTCCAAAGTCATTTGGATCAGAACTTTCATTTTCTACTTGGGTTGGAAAACTTTTTTTATCTGTTATCAAATTAACATATCACATTTTTGATTTATGATAAGTAAAAAGTAAAATAATACTAAATGATAAATTGATATAATAAATATCCAACAATCAAAATCTAACTTGGAAAAAGAATAAAGATTAACAA